TAACAGCAGCAGGAACAACAGTAACAGCAGCAGGAACAACAGTAACAGCAGCAGGAACAACAGTAACAGCAAGGAACAACATAACAGCAGCAGGAACAACAGTAACAGCAGCAGGAACAACAGTAACAGCAGCAGGAACAACAGTAACAAGCGGAAAAATAACAGAGCAGAAAACAGTAACAGCAGCAGGAACAACAGTAACAGCATCAGGAATAACAGTAACAGTAGCAGGAACAACAGTAACAACAGCAGTAACAGTAGCAGGAACAACAGTAACAACAGCAGTAACAGCAGCAGGAACAACAGTAACAGCAGCAGGAAGAACAGTAACAGCAGCAGGAACAGCAGTAGCAGCAGTAACAGCAGCAGGAACAACAGTAAAACAGCAGGAACAACAGTAAAAACAACAGTAACAGCAGCAGGAACAACAGTAACAACAACAGCAGTAACAGCAGCAGGAACAACAGCAGCAGTAACAGCAGCAGGAACAACAGTAAAACAGCAGGAACAACAGTAAAAACAACAGTAACAGCAGCAGGAACAACAGTAACAACAACAGTAACAGCAGGAACAACAGCAGCAGTAACAGCAGCAGCAACAGTAACAGCAGCAGGAACAACAACAACAACAGAAGTAACAGCAGCAGGAACAGCAGCAGGAGCAACAGTAAAAACAACAGCAGTAACAGCAGCAGGAACAACAGTAACAACAGCAGTAACAGTAGCAGGAACAACAACAGCAGTAACAGCAGCAGGAACAACAACAGCAGTAGCAACAGTAACAGCAGCAGGAACAACAACAGCAGTAGCAACAGTAACAGCAGCAGGAACAACAACAGCAACAGAAGTAACAGCAGCAGGAACAACAACAGCAGTAGCAACAGTAACAGCAGCAGGAACAACAACAGCAGTAGCAACAGTAACAGCAGCAGGAACAACAACAGCAGTAACAGCAGCAGTAACAGTAGCAGGAACAACAACAGCAGTAGCAACAGTAACAGCAGCAGGAACAACAACAGCAGTAGCAACAGTAACAGCAGCAGGAACAACAACAGCAGTAGCAACAGTAACAGCAGCAGGAACAACAACAGCAGTAGCAACAGTAACAGCAGCTGGAACAACAACAACAACAGAAGTAACAGCAGCAGGAACAACAACAGCAGTAACAGCAGCAGGAACAACAACAGCAGTAGCAGCAGTAACAGCAGCAGGAACAACAGTAAAACAACAGTCAGGCAGGAACAACATAAAACACAGCAGTAGGAACAACAACAGCAGTAGCAGCAGGAACAACAACAACAACAACAAGTAACAGCAGTAACAGCAGCAGGAACAACAACAGCAGTAACAGCAGCAGGAACAACAACAGCAGTAACAGCAGCAGGAACACAGCAGTAACAGCAGCAGGAACAACAACAAGTAACAGCAGTAACAGCAGCAGGAACAACAGCAGCAGTCACAAGTGTTATACAAGGAGGGCAGACACAGGAAAGTGTCAGACGTGTCACCTTCTTGTTGAAAATCAATGAAGAACCTTGATGGTTCCTACCTGAGTGAGAGAGTGAGTGAGAGTGAGTGAGAGTGAGAGTGAGAGAGAGTGAGTGAGAGTGAGAATGAGTGTGAGACTCAGTGAGAGTGAAAATGAGAGCGAATGTGAGAAGGGAGTGTGTGTGTGTTTACTCATCTGTGGTTGCAAGGGTTGATGCACAGCTCCTAGCCCCACTTCTTCGTTTTTGGCTACTAGGGCAATCCCTAGTCCAAGAGCTTCATCATACCTCTTCTTAAAGCTGTGTATGGATCCTGCCTCCACTACATCACTCTCCATATTGTTCCACTTCCTGACAACTCGAAGGCTAAAGAAATACTTCCTAACATTCCTATGGTCATCTGAGTTTTAATATTCCAGTTGTGACCCCTTGTTTCTGTGTCCCATCTCTGGAACATTCTAACTCTGTCCACCTTGTCAATTCCTCTCAGTATTTTATACGTCGTTATCATATCCCTCCTGTTCTCTAGTATCATCAGGTTGAGTTCGCTTAACCTCTCCTCATAACACATTTCCCTTAGTTCCGGGACTAGTCATGTTGCAAACATTTGAACCTTCTCCAGTTTATTGACGTGTGTGACCAGGTGTGGGTTCCATAATGGTGCTACATACTCCAGTACGGGCCTGACGTACACGATGTACAGAATGTCGAAACACCATTCCTAGGTTTGCTAGGAGCCCATATGCTGCAGCAGTTGTTGGTGTGCACCTCGGGAGATGTTCTCTGTATAATGCTCACCCCAAGATCCTTTTCCCTGAGTGAGGTTTGCAGTCTTTTTAGATTTAGATTTTGCCACCGAAGTGGCTAGTTTATTGTGCACCCCATATCCATCCTGTGGACGGTAGCGCGAGAACATATCCGTGGACGGTAGCGCGAGAACAATCATCTGTGGACGTACACATACCACTGACGTAGCGGAGCTATGGATACACAAAAGGCCCAGGAACTAGGCCCCAAAGGGTTAACAGGAATACATATGGATTTATATCTACATATCTATAGTTCACTTATCTGTTACAAGCAAATTTAGGAAATTTGCTTAGTATATCTGGTATCTTATTTTCATTTATAAGATATCTTGACATGTCACATAGGTTATTATACTGTCTGTCTCTGTATTCCTCAATAAGTGGACAATTAAGCACATAGTGTTCAAGAGAGTGACCATATGCCTGATCACATAATTTACATTTAGTTTGATCATCATCTGTGTGTCTCCCAAACTGCCAGAAGTACTTGTAAACCTAAACCAAGCACTAAGTCAGTACTTGTAACAAGACTAAGCCTGGCCATACAACACAGTCAGTTGTAACCAAGCAAGCTGGCACTCATGTCAGTCTGTTCCATTGCAAGTTGCTCCATAAACATACTTATCTACGTTCATGTTATCATAGTGGGTTATAGATCTACTCAGGCTTCTAACTGCATTCCTATAACAATCATTTTCATTATTTACTTCTCTCCTAATATTATTCCTAATGCTAGACACAGTTATACCAAAGTTATATTCTACATTCTCCTTCTGGATACTCTTCTTGGCTAACATATCAACTTTATCATGAAGGAGTAATCCAATGTGTGATGGGATCCATAGCAATTGTACATTAATTCCTTTGTCCCTAATTTTTGAGTATCTATACCTGGCTTCCCCAATGAGCATGTTGTTGGAGTCATTATATGAGCCAAGAGCCTTCAATGATGACATAGAATCAGTAATGATGATAGAGTCAAGCTGTGTCATAGGTTAGCTTTAGCGCCATTAGGATTGCAAACAATTCAGTTTGCAGTGTAGACGCCCAGTTGTTAATTCTTATGCCTAACTCAACAAATTTATTATCGTTCTTAACTAACTGAGATCTTTCTCCTTTCCCAAGTTGCACTTGGTGGGTTTAAACTCCAGGAGCCATTTGTCGGACCATGCTTGCAACCTGTCCAGATCCCTTTGTAATTTTACCTGATTCTCGTCTGTTTGTATTCTTCTCGTTAGTTTCACATCAGCGAACAGGGACACCTTTGAATCTATTCCATAATATCATTCACACATACAAGAAACAGCACCGACCTAGGACTGACCCTTGTGGAACTCCACTCAACACATTGGCCCACTCTGACACCTCATCACATACTAACACTCGTTGTTTCCTTCCTGTCAGATATTCCCTGATCTATTTTAGTGTTTTTCCTATTCCTGCCTGCTCCTCTAGTTTCTGTTCCAGTCTCTTGTGTGATACTGTGTCAAAAGCCTTCATAAAGACCAAGAAAATTAATTCTACCCATCCCTCTCTCTCCTGTCTTCTGTCACCTTGTCATAGAACTCCAGTAGATTTGTGACACAGGATTTCCCATCCCTGAAGCTGTGCTGGTTGTCATGTATGAGCTTAATTCTAGGTGCTCCACCATGCTACTCCCGATAATCTCCTTCACTGTACATACTACACATGTCAGGTACATTGGTCTGTTGTTTAATGCTGTCTCCTTCGATTTTCATATCCGTTGACTTAAAGGGGTTGAATTGCAACATCCACTTGTAAGATCAGTCCTGCAGCTTGTTCAGGCAGAGAAGCTGTGAGCATACTAATAGATAACACAAGCATCAGGGGCCCAAGACTCTTCAACTGCCTCCCAGCATACATAAAGGGGATTACCATTAGAGGTGTGTTCCTGGCAACCCGACGTACGATGTTTTTTTTTTTTTTTTTGAGGGGGGAAGGGAAGCCTTTGGGTCATTATATAAGACTTCCTGTGTCATTTAAGCATTGAAATTCAACCCCTTTTGGATTGTGACCGCGATTTCTCTGAGGTCAGAAATGTTAGCTTGTATTAATCTCTAAAAGAATTTGGGGAGAAGTCCAATTTTTAAAGGAGTTCGGCCTATTTGGCAAGTTGGGCTTATTAGGCACCCCCCCCCCCATACACACACACACACACACACACACACACACACACACACACACACACACACACACACACACACACACTTACACAAGGTGGATAGATACAGGATGTTCCAGAGATTGGACACAACAACAAGGGGTAACAATTGGAAGTTGAAGACTCAGACGAGCCACAGGGATGTTAGGAAGTATTTCTCCAGTCAGAGTTGTCAGGAAGTGGAATAGTCTAGAAAGTGAGGTAGTGGAAGCAGGTACCATACATAGCTTTAAGAAGAGGTATGATAAAGCTCATGGAGCAGGGAGAAAGAGTGGACCTAGTAGTGACCAATGGAGAGGTGAGGCCAGGAGCTATGCAGCCACAATTAGGTGAGTACACACATACACACACACACACACACACACACACACTAATGTAATAAGTATAACTATTATTGGTAATTTCTTTTCAGAAAACGGAGGTGTCTGCTACAATATAGAAAATGGAGGGTGGTAAACATAAGATAGAACACTGTAACCAACTCCAGGCACACACTCCCACCTCGTTAAATATTAAATAATGGAAATCTAGCCAGCTAAATTAAACGACAGAAAATTAAAACAGTTGGGAACTGTGCCGGGAATTCCAGAGAATTTTTTGATAGCGTGTTGAAAAAAATGGTAATATGGCTTCAATTAAGGAAAATACTATATTGCTTCAATCTGTAATATATTTTTTTATTATTATTAATTAGAAAAAATTTATTGAAAATTTATTGAAATTTATTGAAAATATGGCTCAATATATTAGTGTGAGGCATAACTAAATTAATTTCCCAGATGGCTAGCCAATCACAAGGCCAGCTTCCCGGAGGGGCAGCCAATCACCGAGCCAGCTACGCAGAAGGTTAGCCAATCAGAGAACCACCTTATCAACCAGCCCACCAATCACCGAGCCAGCTTCGCAGAAGGTTAGCCAATCAGAGAACCACCTTGTCAACCAGCCCACCAATCACCGAGCCAGCTTCGCAGAAGGTTAGCCAATCAGAGAACCACCTTATCAACCAGCCCACCAATCACCGAGCCAGCTTCGCAGAAGGCTAGCCAATCAGAGAACCACCTTATCAACCAGCCCACCAATCACCGAGCCAGCTTCGCAGAGAGGCTAGCATCAGGAACCACCTATCAACCAGCCCACCAATCACCGAGCCAGCTTCGCAGAAGCAGCATAGGACTACAGCCACCAATCACCGAGCCGCAGAAGGCTAGCCAATCAGAGAACCACCTTATCAACCAGCCCACCAATCACAAATGCCGGAAAGTTAACCAATCAGGAACAGGGAATTGATTGGTCAATGCTTGACCTGAGATGGTGTGACCCCAGGTGACCTATATTGACCCCAAGCGACTTGGATTGACCCAAGTGACCTGTATTGACCCAAGGTGACCTAAATTAACTCCAAGTGACCTGGACTGACCCAAGTGATCTATATTGACCCCCAAGTGACCTGGATTGACTCCGAGTGACCTGGATTGACCCCCGAGTGACCTGGATTGACCCCGAGTGACCTGGATTGACCCCGAGTGACCTGGATTGACCTGAGCCAAGAGACAGGTCATAAGTGACTTATGAACATCCGCAGATCATTGCTGCTTCTTGCACGTCGTTGCTGCTCAACTAAGGTAAGTTGCAACATTTTACTTGAGTCTCCCACATAAACTCACCAGTTTTCTTTTTTTTTGTCTTTCATGGTCCCATTTTCTTTGTTCCCATTTTTTATGTTCCCATTTTTCGTCATATTTTATTCTATGGTCCCATAATTCCAATTATCTCTTCAGTTCCCATTGTGTCTTAAATAATCTTCTGCAGTCTGAGGGACTGACCACCTCAAAACTTCAAGGTTGATGGACTGATAATATCGTTTTGCAAGTAGTGGTGACCCGGCCTTGGCTCCCTATCTGGGGAGTATCTTGTGACCTAAGTCTCCCATGGGAGGAGGTACAAGTACCCCCTCATCTTTGGGACCAAGTGTCCCCAGGCCTAGCCACAGTCCCCGCCCAAAGGGGCTCGTGGGGATGGCAGTCTTATGAGCTGCAGGTGGTAGTAAGCTCAGGCCATTATCCCATCACTTCTCCTTTTATCAACTTTTCTGTACTTGACTGATGATGTGGTGGTGGTAATCGTGGTGGTGTTGGTGGTAGTGGTGGTGGTAGTGGTGGTGTTGGTGGTGTTGGTGGTAGTGGTGGTGTTGGTGGTAGTGGTGGTGGTAAGTGTGGTGGTTTGGTGGTAGTGGTGGTGGTAAGTGGTGGTGTTGGTGGTAGTGGTGGTGGTAATGTGGTGGTGTTGGTGGTAGTGGTGGTGGTGGTGTTGGTGTTGGTGGTAGTGGTGGTTGTTGGTGGGTAGTGGGTGGTGGTAATCGTGGTGGTGTGTTTGGTGGTAGTGGTGGTGGTGGTGGTGGTGTTGGTGGTAGTGGTGGTGGTGGTGGTATGGTGGGTTGGTGGTGTTGGTGGTAGTGGTGTGGTGGTGAGTGGTGGTGGTGTGTTGTTTGGTGGTAAGGTGGGTGGTGGTAATCGTGGGTGGTGTTGGTGGGTAGTGGTGGTGGTAAGTGGTGGTGTATTGGGGTGGGGTAGTGGTGGTGGTAATCGTGGTGGTGTTGTGTGGGTTGGTAGTGGTGGTGTTTGGTGGTAGTTGTGGTCGTGGTGGTTGTTGGTGGTAGTGGTGGTGGTAATCGTGGTGGTGGTGGTAGTGGTGGTGGTAATCGTGGTGGTTGGTGGTAGTGGTGGTGGTAATCGTGGTGGTGTTGGTGGTAGTGTAGTGGTGGTGTTGGTGGTGTGGTGGTGTTGGTGGTAGTGGTGGTGGTAATCGTGGTGGTGTTGGGTGTGGTGGTAATGTGGTGGTGTTGGTGGTAGTGGTGGTGGTAATCGTGGTGGTGTGGTGGTAGTGTTGTGGTGGTAATGTGGTTGTATTGGTGTTGTGTTGTGGTGGTGGTGGTGGTAGTGGTGGTGTTGGTGGTAGTGGTGGTGGTAATCGTGGTGGTGTTGGTGGTAGTGGTTGGTGTGGTAATCGTGGTGGTGTGGTGGTGGTAGTGGTGGTGGTAATCGTGGTGGTGTTGGGTGGTAGTGGTGGTTGGTGTCGTGGGTGGTGTTGGTGGTAGTGGTGGTGGTGGTGTATGGTGGTAGTGGTGTGGTAATCGTGTGTGGTGGTGGTAGTGGTGGTGGTAATCGTGGTGGTGTTGGTGGTAGTGGTGGTGGTATGTGGTGGTGTTGGTGGTAGTGGTGGTGGTGGTGTTGGTGGTAAGTGGTGGTGTGTGGTGGTAGTGGTGGTGGTAATCGTGGTGGTGTTGGTGGTAGTGGTAGTGGTGGTATGTGGTGGTGGGTGGTGGTAGTGGTGGTGGTAATCGTGGGTGGTGTGTGTGGTTGGGTAGTGGTGGTGGTAATCGTGGTGGTGTTGGTGGTAGTGGTGGTGTGTTGGTGTTGGTGGTGTGTGGTGGTGTTGGTGGTTAGTGGTGGTGGTTAATCGTGGTGGTGTTGGTGGTAGTGGTAGTGGTGGTGGTGGTGTTAGGTGGTAGTAGGGGGGTGGTAATCGTGGTGGTTGGTGGTGGTAGTGGTGGATCGTGGTGGTGGTGGTGTTGGTGGTAGTGGTGGTGGTAATCGTGGTGGTGGGTGTGTGTAGTGGTGGTGGGTGGTAGTGTGGTGGGTGGGTTGGGGTATGTGTGGTATTGTGGTGGTGTTGGTGGTAGTGGTGGTGGTGGTTGGTGGTGGTGTTGTGGTGTGGTGGTGGTAATGTGGTGGTGTGGTTGGTGGTAGTGGTGGTGGTAGTGGGTGTGGTGGTGTTGGTGGTAGTGGTGGTGGTGTGGTGTGTGGTGGTAGTGGTGTGGTGGTGTATGGTGGTGTGGTGTGTGGTAAAGTGGTGGTGTTGGTGGTAGTGGTGTGTAGTGGTGGTGGTGGTGTTGTGGTGGTGTGGTGGTGGGTGGTAATCGTGGTGGTGGATGGGTTGGTGGGGTGTAGTGGTGGTTGGTGGTAGTGGTGGTGAATCGTGTGGTGGTGGTGGTAGTGGTGGTGTATGGTGGTAGTTGGTTGGTGTGGTAGTCGGTGGTGGTGGTGTGTTGGTGGTAGTGTGTGGTGTGGTGGTTAGGTGGTGGTGGTGTGGTGTTGTGGTGGTAGTGGTGGTGGTAATCGTGGTGGTGTTGAGTGGTGGTGGGTAGTGGTGGTAGTGGTGGTGGTGGGTGGTGTTGGTGGTAGTGGTGGTGGTATGTGGTGGTGTTGGTGGTAGTGGTGGTGGTAGTGGTGGTGTGGTGGGAGTGGTGGTGGTGGTGGTGGTGGAGGTGGTGGTGTTGGTAATCGTGGTGTGTGTTGGTGTATTGTGGTTGTGTAGTGGTGTGTTGGGGGTAGTGGGTGACGTTGTGGTGTTGGTGGTAGTGGTTGGTGGTATGTGGTTTGGGTGTTGTGGTGGTAGTGGTGGTGTATGTGTGGTGGTGGTGTGGTGGTAGTTGTGGTGGTAAGTGGTGGTGTTGGTGGTAGTGGTGTGGTGGTTTATCAGTGGTGGTGTTGGTGGTAGTGGTGGTGGGTAAGTGCTGGTGTTGGTGTAATCGTGTGGTGTTGTGTAGTGTGGTGGTAGTGTTGGTGGTAGTGGTGGTGGTAATTGTGGTGGTGTTGGTGGTAGTGGTGGTGGTAATCGTGGTGGTGTGTAGTGGTGGTGGTGGTGGTGGTGGTGGTGTTGTGGTAGTAGTGTGTGGTGTGTGGTGTTGGTGGTAGTGGTGGTGTTGGTGTAGTGGTGGTGTAATCGTGGTGTGTGTGTGTGGTATGTGGTGGTGGTAATCGTGGTGGTGTTGGTGGTAGTGGTAGTGGTGGTGGTAGTGGTGGTGTTGGTGGTAGTGGTGGTGTTGGTGGTAGTGGTGGTGGTAGTGGTGGTGTGTGGTAGTGGTGGTGGTAATCGTGGTGGTGTTGGTGGTAGTTGGTGGTGGTAGTGGTGGTGGTGGTGTTGGTGGTAATCGTGTGGTGTTGGTGGTAGTGGTGGTGTTGGTGGTGTTGGTGGTAGTGGTGGTGGTAATCGTGTGGTGTTGGTTGGTAGTGGGGGTGGTAGTGGTGGTGTAGTGGTGGTGGTAATCGTGGTGGTGTTGGTGGTAATGGTGGTGGTGGTGTTGGTGGTAGTGGTGTGTGGTGGTGTGGTATGTGTTGGTGGTAGTGGTGGTGGTAATCGTTGTGGTGTTGGTGGTAGTGGTGGTGGTAGTGGTGGTGTTGGTGGGAGTGGTGGTGGTGGGTGGTGGTATAGTGGTGGTGGTGTGTTTGGGGGTAGTGGTGGTGTTTGGGGGTAGTGGTGGTGGTAATCGTGGTGGTGTGGTGGTAGTGGTGGTGGTAATCGTGGTGGTTTGGTGGTGGTGGTAATCGTGGTGTAATCGTAGTGGTAGTGGTGGTGGTGGTAATCGTGGTGGTGGTGTAGTGGGGGTGGTATGGTAGTGGTGGTGTAGTGGTGGTGGTAATCGTGGTGGTGGTGTAGTGGTGGTGGTGGTGGTGGTAGTGGTGGTGGTGGTGTAGTGGTGTGGTAATCGTGGTGGTGGTGGTAATCGTAGTGGTAGTGGTGTGGTGGTAATCGTGTGAATTCGTAGTGGATAGTGGTGTGGTAATCGTGTGGTGTAGTTGGTGGTGGTATGGTAGTGGTGGTGGTAGTGGTGGTGTAATCGTGGTGGTGGTGGTAGTGGTAGTGGTGTGTGGTGGTAGTGGTGGTGGTGTGGTAGTGGGGTGAGTAATCGTGGTGGTGGTGGTAGTGGTGGTGGTGGTGGTTAATCGTGTGGTGGTGGTAGTGGTGGTGGCGGACGTAGAATGCAGAGCACCGGAAATGGAGATGTTATCTCATACATAAATCATGTGACGGTCACTATTTGTGTACACTGAGACGTGTGTGCATCTCTGTGTATGTACACTTTAGTGGTGTATATCTCAGTGTATATACACTGAGATATTGTTATTTTTAGAGGAATTAATAAAGGTCTGTTGCTTAATTAACTTTATCGGATTCGTGCTCACGAACATTCTGAGCCGGATTCAAGTACGAACTACCCGATGAATCTGGATTCGAAAGGTCTTAATTCTGTCTGGTTTTCCAACTGGTTGAGGTAATGTTCCCTGACCCACCTCTCACTCCCTGAGCCAGTGTAAGTCATTGAGTTTGTAAGTTAGCTAGTAAGTCAGTAAGTTAATAAGTTTATTTAGATACACGTACACATCAGTACAATTATCATACATAGTGTAAATGTTAGGTAAATGGTCACAGGTGCAAATAATATGGCATTTTATTGTGGCAAGGCTTCACTCTCCAGGAGCTTTATCAACCTCTCACTCTCTACGTGAGGTAGTAAGTAATAGTAGTCTAAGTGTAGATAACTCTTGGTTGCCATGTGATGCAGTGGTTTATTGTTTTGAGTAGAATTTTGGTTAATACCTCAGAAATGACGAAGCTATCTTTATTTTGTTTACTGGTGTCTGAAGCGGCGATTGAAGATAACTCATGGCATTTATGCCTGTTTATATTTGCATCTTATAAAGATCACTAGACTGGCATAACTGAATCTCATAAGATGGTTGTACACATTGTTCAAGTCGTTTCTGCATGTATTGATACGTTCACTGAGATGTGTTTGTGGGTACGTGATGTTTCACCAACGTGTACCTTGTCACAGCCTCCA